GGAACGGTGCAAGTTCCGGGAGTGCATGTTTTGATAACATTCGGGGAAATCTATGGCGTCCCAGTGAATTGAGTATCTGTGAATAATATTTTCCATTATATAGCTCCCAAGTTCACTGACCTTTTGCTTATTCTTTCAAGCATGATTCATTCATTCACAAATAACATCATTCTTACCTTAAGTATCTCAGACATTTTTCACACTACTTTCCTCTATCCACTTCTTATGGTTTGTTGTCAACGGAGCATATAACATACACACTCAACCAACACCAACTTGGACCAATGAATAAAATATCGACTGATCGAGAAATTTACGCCAAAGACTTAAGCGAAAGTTCGAAACGAAATCCTGAAGTTTTTACTTTGGTTACATCTCTTAATAACAAACCATTCACATCTTCCCAATAAATAAGAATAAGAATAAATAAGAATGAGATGAAAATGTGGTACCTTATAAGTTAACCTGAAATCTCCAAAATCACTGAGGGCCAGTTTCGAACCACCGTTATTAAGGATATCATCCCAAGTCTCACCCAGTATACTCTACGAGGCTTTTGAGGCGAATGATCTAAATTGCTGTAGTTAAACTCATCACTTCTTGTGATGAAAATAAGCTGAAAGCTTCAAAGACCTCGGCCGCTTGATCGCAGCTGGGGGGTTTCAAGAGGCAGACCGTACAACGTTCGCCCCACTGACTACTATCATTTTTTTATTACACTTTTGCTGTGTGACGAACAGCAGACAGGGAAGACCCCATAGTCATAAGGACCTATTGTTCAGTGGTGGAAACCGGTAACCTAAACCCCGAGACTTAGAGTGGCGAACCACCAAAGGCCCCCATAGGTTAGCCGTAGTATTGAACCGGATGACAGCAAAGCTGCCTACCACCAAAGTCGGGTGGCGGGGCCATATTTCTCAGCGTCTCAAACCAACGACAATCTTCACTTTTTGGGCCCCAACCCGGAAGGCTGCGCCAACCGGAACCAATGCAGTTACGCCATATCATGGTCTGACTGCCGCAACATTTCTTCCAGCCTAACCGAGCACAAGCCAAAGTAAAGACCGAAAGGTGGAGGATGGACAGGTGTACGAAAAACAAGAACAGGTCATCCGAAACGGTGTAGTGAAACGCTATCGGTACCGAATACACGACGACGAACCTCTACATTGTTTACCCGACGTTCCCATCAGACACTAGCAATGCTTCGGAGACGTTGGCATCCGAATACAGAAGGCCAATGAGCATCCTCAAGTCGGACGGGCCAGGTCTCGCAACCGAAAATCGGAAAGTAGGTTATCATGGCAGCGCCACAGATGTCGCAGACTGGCAAAAGGTGCCCTAGATTTTTCTATTTTTACTGTGGTCTCCTCAAAACTACCTCCAGCCGCGAGCAAGTAGCTGAGGTACTCAAAGCTCTCAACTATTTCTAGCCGATCATTACAGAGGATGAGTGCAGGCAAAGACTACTGCCAGTCTTAAACAAACAGTTTGCACCTGAATGGTGCAAAGCACACAATATCTGAATACCTCAATCACCAAGCGGTTTAGAGCATGTTAGATTTCCTGCGCATTGAAATCCAACAAGGCGATGTCATCAGCATATTCTAAGTCAAGAACTGTGTCCCCTGGGAGAAGTTCTACTCTACCATTTACTAGACCGGATAAAACGTTCTGTAAAACATCTTCTATACCAAAGTTGAAAAGGAATGGGGATATAAAGCAGCTTTGTCGCACTCCATTGGAGCTCGCAATGGCGAAAATTTGCCATAGACCCTAACCTAACCTGAGGTATGACGGCACAACTCCTTAAAGATCGATACACTTCTCAGGTACTCTATTCCTCAGCAAATATTTCCATAGTGAGGTCCTATCGATGGAGTCAAAGGACGCACGGATGTCTGAGAATGCAATGATCACTGGTCTTTGATAGACATGACGGTGCTATCGCAAGTGTCGGATGATGAAGACTTGATCGATGCATCCACGACTAGCGAGAAACAGACTGATCACCGCGGGCATGTTCCTTAAGCGTCTTGAAAAATCTACGAATAGCGGACGCTAACAGCTGTTACGCTATTGGGATGAGGCTTATACCCCTGCAGTTGGCACAGACACCGCGTGGACCCTGTGTAAAGATGGGGACGATAATCGATTTTCCCCACGAAGAGAGGAACTGCTCAGCGTTCCAAACTTTAAAGAACAGAACTTGTGATTCTTTAACGAGCTTCATTCCGCCACCTTTCAATAGAGCTGGAGGAAGACCATTAGAACCCGACGTTTTGTGAAGTTCCAAAGCTTGGATCTCATTGCAAATTTCCGTACCGGAAGGTGGGTCCGTATGATAAACCGCGGGACGTGTGTCCGGACAGCTGTCTGAGAAGCTGTCGCTGGTGGCCAGCTAAACTGTGCTTTGAAGTACTACTCCCAGTGTCCGAGACGTCGCTGTTCATCGTGAATAGGCGAGCCGTCCGCTTTATAGATCGTTTTGCTCACATCTAAAGCTTTCCTACCGGTGACTCGAATGAGATGAAACAGGCTACGGGGATTTCCCATGGCGGAAGCACGTTCCATTTCTGATGCACGTTGAGGCCACCAAATTTCTCGGTCTCTGTGTAGGCTTACGTTAAGTTCACGTCTCGTTACAAGTGCTACGTTACGCTTGCTGCGGACCGAAAGTGACCGATAAGCATCAAGGAGCCGCAGAGACTCAGCGGAAATCCAGAGCGTCACGATACAATGTGTTTGACCACAACTAAGCCAGCAGAATGCACAGCATTTTTGATAAGCGACTAGTGCTTATTGATGTTATCGGGTTGGATTGGTTCCAGCTTTTCAGTTAGCGCGCTCCGAAAGACAGCAGATTGGTTGAGACAACTTATCGGAGTCTAACCGTCTCTGTGTCGTGCGTCTAGAGCGTCCACCGAAACACATGAACGGCTTGGCGCAAACTAATGCATAATCGGATTCGATGGGAATGCTCCAGTACGATCAGCAGTCGTGAATGCAGCCCCCCCTCCCCCCTCCCCATTTTTGGTGATGTTGCCGATCTGCGTTCGTCTCGGACTAGAGCAGGGCGGATGACAAATAGCATACCAGCATATGGATCGTCTCAAGTTCGTTTGCAGTAGTCGACGAAGGAGGAAAAGTCACGCAAGCCAACATCCCGCTTTGATTTTGGTGACCCAGTAGCACAACAGCTCAAAACAGTGATAAAGAATAAACGAAAAAGCACCAAGAGTATATATATAATTCATTACCCAGAACCGAAACCCGTGCAATGAATGCAGCAAAAATTGAACTGAAAACGCTCATGACCTTTGAAAGCAAATAAATGCNTGCGTGAAATTCAACAATATACGAACAATTGAGGTATGAAAAGAGAAAAACATTACTTCCAAACGTTGTACATGAATTTATTTTACTTTGTTTTCCTGAAATGCATTTTTTGACACCTCACCCGTTGCAGGTTGGTGGATAAATGAAGTCGAGATAAAGGGATATTCGCGAAATTCTTATCGTTCTGTTACGATCAGACAACGGGAAAAAAATAATTAAACAATGCAGTGACGGACACAAGTTGAGGCTAAGTACCAAAGCATGCAAGAGGAAATTACCAGAAAAAACTTGCCAGGTCTCGATGCAGAACCCAGTTGTCATGCAGATAGTGAATTCCATTCAAAATTTGGTACATGAGACTCTTGACCATATTTCCATACACCTGAACTGTAGTTTTGTTTGCTTTGGCTGTTCGATGAAATTTGATAATATGCCATAGATCATGTTCAGCATAGTCGAACAGTAGCCAAACTCGTCGAGCCACGTGATTGAGAAAGACCCGTTGGAGAACAATTACATTTGGATGTTTCAACTCACGAAGAAGCTGGATAGTGTTAAAAAGGGAAATATGAAACAACCTACTGCGATTTCGCGACAGGAGGACATGGTCAGACCGGTGCCCTCGATTTGCTTCAGAGCATACTCACGGTCGTCACAGCTTCCTTTCCGTTTGGCTTTGTACACACTACCATAAGTCCCACGCCCAATTTTGCAGCCTTCGAAATCAAAGCAGTCCTCAACCTTTTCGCGAATTTCATTCAATTTTCTCTTAAACTCAACATCCACCATTGTTTTTAAACCAAAATCCTAACACACTTCATTAGGTAGTTATCTGAAAGCGAAAGTATGGAGAGTTACGTACAAATGGAAAATTTCACAGAGTGAACGAAAACCGAAAAACAAATGGCACCGAACGACACTTCGGTGAATTGGCTTCCGTAATTCTCATGAACACACAATTAAATTCAAATTCTGCTCCATTGCTCTGATAAGGCACAAAAAAATTACCCCAAAGGAGTGATTTAGTATGCAACCGTGGTGATTGGGAGGGACCGTCCCTCAACAGTGGAGGAACGATTTTTCGTAAAAAATGACTAGCGTACTAAGATTCGTTCGGTACACATTCTGCGCTCCGACGGGTACAAAAAATACTAATGCAGAGTGAGAGTAAAAAGATTGCTGATATCGTGCGGATATTTGAATTTCAAGGAAGCCATTCCTTGAAAAGCTCACTCAACGGACATGTAGTTGTCATCAACCCAAGTGGGATTTTTAGAAGCCCAAGTGGCCAATATGCAAAACCAAATCGAATGGATAATGCAGATCGTTTATTTTACCTCTGTATAAATCACGGATTGTTCTTATCAACCACCAACTTCTCACACACAAAAACGAAACTACTATGAAAATGTATTAAACTCTTCTCGGGGAGGGACTAAAATCGACCCGGATGTCCTGAGTTCGAGATGTTACACAAGACTGATGCTTCTATTGGTCTATGCTAGTAGACACCAATCATGCTCCAACACGGGTCAGATTCTGTCAGCCTCCAAAAGCCTCCGTATCGTCGGGGGTGCGAGTCTTGGTTTGTGACTGGTCATTCCTTTCTTGCACCTCGTGAAATACCTTTA